AGGATGGCCATACGGATCGTACGAGGATACCGCACAATATCCTTTGAGGCGGCGACAATGCTGGCTCGCTTTCCACCACTAGATATACTGGCGGAAATGAACGCGAGGGTGTACATTCGAATCCGTGCCCTTCGCCAGAGTAGTGGTAGTGAGCCAGAAGAGGCGCTCGAATCAATTAAACGGCAGGAACAACAAAACGCTCTGGCATCATGGCGCTCTCGACTCGAGGAGCGCTATGAACGCAAACGCGTCGTTGAAGCAATCCTGCCTGTCTTCGAAACCTGGATGCAGCGACGAGCAGGAAGACTCACCTACAGACTTACTCAGATAATTACCGGGCATGGGGTGCTTCGGTGATTATCTGTGTAAGATTGGACGTGAGGCAACGGCGAACTGCTTCCACTGTGGTGGAAGGGACCAGGACTCCGCTTCCCACACACTCGCAGTATGCCCAGTGTGGGAACGGGAACGGACGATCCTGGTGAACCGCATCGGACGGGACCTCTCCCTGCCAGCAGTTGTGTCGGCGATGCTGAGCGGGGATTCGTCGTGGAGGGCCGTAGCCACCTTCTGTGAATCTGTTATGATTCAGAAGGAGGCTTCTGAGCGGGATCGGGAGAGGGCGAATCCCGCGCGGAGACGACGTCACCAAGGCGTTCGTCACGGCCCTCCTCTTGAAAACGGTGTTCCCCTACCAGAAACGGGGCCTCCGGGGTTGCAGACGCTCGGGTCGGGGGCCTCGAGCGCCTAGTTATGTAACCCCCGAGGAGGACGACGGCTCGAAAGTGGTCTCGAGACATCGTGGTAGCATTGCGAGGATGCTGGGGGCAGAAAGTACTGCCCCTGGGACGTGCTACTAGTGTAGCAAAGCGATGGAGGGGCCCCGGTTGCGTTCCGAACGGAGATCCCGGGACCCCTCTTATACGCTAAAGGTGCCTACCGTGGGTTTTTAGCCAGTAGGAGTCCGGCATAACCTTTTGTTGCCCCCGCAACGGAAGGTATCCATGAGGATTTCCCCACGAAAAAAAAAGAGATCCTTGCATTTTGGTTCAAGTTCTTTCTGACACTGGTATACCAGGCATACTTTGCCATTGGTTATTTAATTTTTTAACAGATAGAGCTTTGTATATAAGGCATAATAATATTCTCCATGGTCCCAGGAGGGTCTCCAAAGGTACAATGCAGGGGACTACACTATCTCCATTGTTGTACAACTAGTCAAATTCTTAATTTTGTAAATATAGGTGTAAACCAAAGAGATTTAAATATATAGGTATACTATAGAGCTGGCATTGGGAAGATTTATATACAAAAACTTTGAGCTAGTGCGCGTGTGGCACCCTCTAGCTAAAAATAGCAAAACAACGCTAAGCATTTATTAAGATAACATTTTAACTATTCCCCAGTAGGTGACGCTAATAAATAAAACGTCGTTTTAGGAATGTTACCATTTTGATATCAAAGTATCGATAATGTTGTTGAAGATTACTAAGTTTGAAATGCTTTTCGATATAATAATAGGGAATATACATAATTGTTTTACTCTATAAATCTATTTATCATGACTTCCATCACACGAAAAAAATCATATTAACTGTTTTTTTATAGAATCGGGTGACAAACGAGCACACAGTCAACCTGATGATAAGTGTTTACTGTGACCCATAGATATCTACATCTATCCTCAATAAATAATCAAAATTCAGATGCGTTGTCACCCGTGAGGACTAAGATGGAATGCCTCTTGTCCGGTAAAAAGGGTCTCCGGTTCTCTACACTCACCATACAAAATACAGCAGCGTTAAGCTGCTATTTTACGCTGGTATTCTGTGAGAGCGTGGTCCTTCCCCGGTCGAGCCGACCCATTCTTGCTACAACTATATTACTAATATAGCTGCAGCATGGCTCTACCACGTTTTTACGGCCATTTAGTGTTTTGAAATAAAATATTTAATTTCCAATAACTAAAAATCAATTCAAACAGCAGTCACTTTGGTTGCCACCTTGGTGGCATCTTGGATGACGTCACTCGGTCCATTAGCCGCTATAATAATAGCATATGATTAATCGGTCGGCGTTAAAGACATATCGAGAAACACCAAATCCAATAAGAGAGCGCCTCTATGTTTTTAAATTCGTTTCTATTACAAAAATACACTTCAAATCTAAAATATTTTGGGAAAACACTGAACTTAAAAGCCGTTTCACGATTTTTCACGTTTCATCAGTTGCAGTACTTAAAGACACTATCCACATCAATAAAAATTGTTATTTTAAGTTTTTACCTTATTTTCTAACTCAGGCTTAACCTATAACTTCTTGCATCTAATATCTTTAACACTAAAAATTGTTTTTAATGTAAGAAACCTATAGCCCTCTCCTATCACTGTAAACGAGGATCTATAATGGCTTTGTCCTTGAAAACCACCAGATAATGAAGCCCGGTGTAAAACCACCAGACAATGAAGCCTGGTATGTAAAAGAGAATACTTGCTGTATTGCTAAACATCAACACAGCAAGTATGCTCATAAGCAACACAGAAAATCTCATCAGCATGCTTAAAAAAAATTCCCACCCTTGCTCCACATAAAGTAGGCTACTTAGCATAGTTGGTATATGCTACTCATTTTTGTTGATATGGGTGCAGTATCGTTGAATATTTTATCTCCTTAAATATTGTAAAGGATTAAATCGGCATCCTGTATATTTTTTTATCGATAATCTCAATCGTCGTCAATCACTACCTTTAACATTGGTAACTAAATAGTGACGTTTATTGGATAACAGAGGGCGTTTATTACAATTAAAATAAATGTTCTAGAACAATCTACTACAAATAATAAAATTTAAAGATTATTCTGTAAATATATGTTATATTTACGATAATAAACCGAAATCATTTCATTTTTTGCTCCATATCGTGACTTGCAATATCTTAATGCACAACCGGGCATATTTTATTAAAAATATTTTTTAAATATATGAAACAAATGCGTCTTGACTTTTTGACGATGTCACTAAGACTAAATGACAAAAATCGGAGATATATCCTATAGGACATAAGTTACAGACAACAATTTTGCTGCTGATGTCCGGTCTATTACTACTACTACTTAAATGTCTTTGGGGTAAACATTTTACAATTTGCGGATGATCTTGAAATATATTGTACAGACCATAATGTAGATAGAGCTGTAAATAGTATAAATAATGCTTTATAGTGCCACCAACTTATCTGTTCAGTTGACAGGCAGACCCCAAAGTTTTAAGTAGGCTATATAAATCTATAGTCAGAAACCATTTCGACTACAGTTGTTTAGCCTACTCAAATAGTAGTTGTGTAAAAAAAACTAGACATAATTCTATATAAATCTATGGTCAGAAGCCATTTCGACTACAGTTGTTTAGCCTACTCAAATAGTAGTTGTGTAAAAAAACAAAGCTCTGCGAATTATTTCTGGGGCTATGTGTTCAACTCTCATACGAGCTATGGAAGTTGAAACCAAAATAATGCCACTGTGTCTTAGAAGACTTCTGCTAATAGAGAGATATTTACTAAAGCTGTTATCTGGTAATGATAATGTTCTCAAAAAAAATTGTACCTTTTCCTGTACAATGCTCGGCCCAGTAGACTTCGGGAGGTGAGCTTTTACGAGGTTATTTCCCAGTTCTGCCTCTCATTGTACAGCAAATGAATGAAGTATTTAAAAATGTACTTAAACAATCAAAGTAGACATGCTACACATACCCATATTCCTGTATTATATTTGAGACCAATATTGTTACCAAAAAAAATTTTAATAATTGTGAATTATTAAGTTTCCTTTCCGAGAATAACTACTATACTTTGTATACAGATGGTAGCAAAAGTGAGCTCTCTGTGTGCAGTGCTGTTTATGATCCCCAATCCAAGTTTGGTCAAAGTTTTCTTCTGGACCCTAAATGCAGTGTTTTCAATGCAGAGGTATATGCGACCCTCGAGGCCCTGAAGAGGATTGCACATATAAATAGTTTCAATATTTTTTTAATTTTAACAGACAGTTTAAGTATGGTCCAAAGTTTAACCAATCTCAGATTTGGGTTTAAAAAAAAGTATTATTTTGTGTAATATTAAAAAATTGTTATTTAGTTATGCACAAAAGGTTATACAGGTCTCTTTCATGTGGATTCCATCAGATAGGGACATAACAGGAAATGAGATAGTAAATAAAATTGAACGTGATAGAACCAACATGTTGGATGTTAGCTCCATAGTAAAAGTACCTTTGAGCGACTGTTATCAATCTATTGACAACCAGATCAATAGTTTATGAGTCGAATTTTGGAAACAAGATCAAGAACAGAAGAGTAAATGGTATGGAACTGTTCAAGAAAACCTACTTGTAGCACCATGGTATAACAAACTGAAAATGGCCAGTCGGGACTTTATTTCGACTATAAACAGATTACGTTTTCGTCACTCCACCGTCCCGGCCACAGAGTATCTTGTTATACCAAGGAGTCCCGGCCCACCTGGCTCGGTTGGGCATAGTGGAGAGCAGCTACTGCACCTTTTGAAATAATTCTGTTGGTGATATCGAACATTTCATATTTAAGTATGTGTGAGTGCTTTTCATTTGACAGATTGATTCTTGTCAGTGAAATTAGTGACATAGTGCAAAATCAAGTGACAGTGCAAGATCCCTCCTGCCGCCTGAGTGATATGTTAAAAAATAGATCCTATTACGTGCCTCTATATAAATTCATCAAAAATACAGTGAGGAAATTATAATAAACCCAATAAAAATACTCAAGACTTGGCCTAAAGGTCCAGATACCAGGCCATAAACTCCAAAAAAAAGCTACTGTCGCTTAGGCGTATAAAAAGTACTCTGTGGCCGTAGCTGTCAGTTCTACATGTCATGGCCTAAAGGTCTAGATGCCAGGCCATAAACTCCAAAAAAAAAAGTTCTACATGTCATTTGTGTGTTTGTTTAGAGGTTTTCTAGGATATTTTGTTGTTACTGCGAACCTAAAGGCGTAGTGTTTCTGTATAGTTTGTGCCTGAGGGTTAGTGTTCTGTGCTGCGTCTATCTAAATAAACTTTTACTGACATTTTAGTGCTATTTTACGAAAGGACTTTATCATTTATAAGCTAATTTATTTATTGTGTACTAGGTTATATATTTCGGCAGGACGATTTCTTTAGATTAAGTGTATTTAAATTTTTAGTTCTAAAATGTATTTTAAGTGTTGCATTCCCAATTGTGCAAGTAAAAGAGAAGAGGCTAAGTTACATAAGTTTCCGTCTGCCGAAGACCAAAGAAACAAGTGGCTGGAATTCATAAACTGTGACAATCTTAAAAGAATGCATTCCAGTAACCTTGTCAAGATGCTGGTTTGTCACAAACATTTTGAAAAAAAGTTTCATACTGCTAAATCTGGGATTAAGATGACAGCTTATCCAACACTATTTTCTTTGGAAGAAATTGAGTCAGGTTTCTCATCACGGTCAAACAATGAGCAAGGTATGTACATTTAGTTATTTCTTAATAATCATAACTGCTCAGTATACTCGATATTCATCTACAATTTTAAAAATTAAATGTAAGCAAGGTTAACTTAAATTAGTAAGTAACTATATTGGTACGACTTTCCATTGACATACGTCGAGTTTGGTGTTAATACATATTTTTACAGAAAGATTACATTTTTATAAGCACACATACAAAGTTTCAATATGCGGAAACACATACTTATTGAGAAAAAATATGGAAAATCAAATATTTTTGCAATGTTTATGTCAATTTCTACTGTGAAACTGACACCATTTTTTATTATTATTGTCAGAAGGGATGTCGATTCTTTCCGAAAAAGATCGATTTTTAAATAGATTTGAATTGTAAGCTGATGTATCGATTCCCAAAAAATCGATTTCTAAAACATTTATATTTTTTTCATGTTTGCATTTTTAATGTAAATATAAATCCATTTTATGAGAAAAAAAATCCCCTTTATCATAAAGAAATAAGGGTACTGATTCAGAAGGATTTCTGTATCTATTTTGAGACTGCTACGTCTCCGGCGCTGCTTGAAGAGCAGCATCTACACCTTAGCGTAACAAATCGCAGGCATCGGACGAGCACGACGAGTTACAGCAGGTAGAGGCTGCTCCCCCTACGTGCCTCCGGCTCTATAAAACCACTCTAGGGGTAGGACAGACTCGTACCAGGTGGAGTCGAGGTCAATCAATTCGGTTCTTTGACATAAGTTGAACCTAACCTATTTTAGTTGTTATCTGCCCTAATAGGTTCTGTTAAAATAAAACAAATTTCAATAAGAGATCATTTATCATGGTATCTTTCTTGTTTTTCATAAAATGGATTTATATTAACATTATTTATGTGCATTTATGCAAACATTAAAAAAATATAGATATTTTAGAAATCGATTTTTTGTGAACTGATACATCAGCTTACGATTTGAATCATTTTAAAAATCGACCTTTTTCGGAAAGAATCAACATCCCTACTGACGTCGACAATGACATTACAAAATGGCGCCAGTTTTACGGTAGGATTAGACAAACATTGCAAGAATTTTCAATAAGTTTTTTCTCAAAAATTACGCGTTTCCGCATGTTATAATAGTGTAACTTTTCTGTAAAAATACATATCAACACCCAACTCTACGGATGTCAATGGAAAGCTAAGCCACTATATTTATTAGCATATGCTTAAGTATATCTTGCAATATTATATAGTTATTATTACCAAAACATACTATTAAATAGGTGGAATGCATACTTGTCTTTGCTCCGCATGTACCTTCATACTACATACCCTTTTTTTACATGGGGAAATGTCTACTCATACACGCCTCACGGGGGCAAGGACGGGCTATGTTGGACTCGCACCAAATAAAACCCCATGGTGTTCCACCTTCGTCGCATATTGGCAGGGCCACAGGAACACTTTCGCACACATCCGCGGCCCCACCTGCGCTGGCCGCCCCATGGCGGTCTCTCCTCGGGAAAGGACAACTCCTCCCCCATCTCCTTCTCAGGTAAGGCGCACCACAACACATGGCGCGCCCCTCCTCCTCGGCCTCCAATTTCACATGCGCAACAAACGCCCCCGTGTCCGATGCACGAAGGACATGGGGCCAGGAAAAACTAGCACTCAGAAGCACCAGCCTTCCTGACCCCAGCGGCGGATCTGGTCTATGGCTCCGCCGCCAACCAAGATTCGGCTGCAGAGTGTAGGGAGAGCGGCGCCTCGCAATACCGACACTCCTCTCCCCCCGCAGCTCACCACCATCGCATCAATTGACGGTGCGGTCCCGTCAGAGTCGCGGAGGATAGGGCGATTGGCGAATCGCCATACCAACGCTCCTCTTCCTCCGCGACTCCACCTCGGCTGCAGCGGTAGAGGGAGCGGACACCCCTCTCACTACAGCCCACCGACACACATCCGAAGTGGGCTTGCCAAGCCCACTTGGAGTGGCCACCTCGGGACGGCCTTACCACGGGCCAGCCAAGGGGTTCCTTTTTGTTCACCGTGGGTGACCAAGCCACGGCTACTAAACCCCCCCACCATGACAAGGAGGGAACCCGATCGTCATACTACATACCCTAGAGCTATCAAGTGAAGGATATCCACCTGTACATAATGAAGTAAAATTTACTAGTTTATAGATGCTATTAACAATAGCTATTAAGTTTTAATCTGGATGGTTATAAAGTAATATGGTTAAATTATTTTTATGTACCTACATGATTAATTTTCTTGCTTTCAGAGAATGTACTTGTTGATCACACATATACACGTAAGAGGCACTATGACCACACATACTACAAAATAGAACAGCATTCACCTTTACAAAAGGCTCAAGACCCCCTTATTGGTAACTATTCAATCAATTTTAAAACTGTCTTTTCTCTATAAAAGTAACCAATTAGACTAGCATATTTCTTGTAATATTATTAAATTGATGGGTAGAAATTATCGTAATTTTAAAAATTATAAGTTTATTTTATTAATAGTTTATTAACTTATTAAATATAAGTTCAGCAATATTAATACGAGGGCTGCACTAAAAGTATCGGGAATGGAATATTTCCACTGTTCCTGTCATATTAAAATCTTTTTAATTGAAAACCCCTTGGTTTTAAAAATCGTATACCATTTATTTATTTAAAAAAAGATTCTCGGTCATGTCACAAGGTTTTGTCAAACTTGTTTAATCGTTGAGAAAATGGAATTGACTCGAGAAAATTCAAGAGCAATGATTTATTATGACTATCGAAGTGGTTTAACACAAAAACAGTGTGTTGACCGGATGATTTCTGCATTTGGTAATGAAGCCCCATCTAAAACCACAATTTATCGCTGGTTTGCTGAATTTCAACGTGGACGTGTCAAGCTCAGTGATGATTTCCGTCAAGGTCGTCCAAAAACTGCAGTCACCCAAGAAAACGTTGATGCTGTGCGTAAGCTGATTAAGGAAGATCGACATGTGACATACCGCGAAATTCAGGCAACATTAGACATTGGCATGAGTCAAATACAAATAATCTTGCATGAACAATTAGGTGTAAAAAAGTTGTTTTCCCGATGGATACCGCATTCGCTCTGTGAAGAGCAAAAAGCGGCTCGCGTTACTTGGTGCGTCAGAACTCTCAAAAAATTCCACGCAGGATTCTCAAATGCTGTATACAACATCGTATCAGGTGACGAATCCTGGATATACGCGTACGAACCCGAAACAAAAAACCAGTCACGAGTTTGGGTGTTCGAAAATGAGTTAAAGCCAACAAAAATTGTTCGTTCACGGAGTGTTCCGAAAAAAATGGTAGCCACGTTTGTCTCCAAAACCGGCCATGTTACGACTATTCCTCTTGAGGGACAAAGAACGGTTAATGCAGAATGGTATGCTAGCATTTGTTTGCCACAGGTTGTTTCTGAACTCCGTAAAGAGAATTGCAACCGCCGCATCATCCTCCATCACGACAATGCGAGTTCTCACACCGCCCATAGAACAAAAGAGTTTTTAGAGCAAGAAAACATAGAATTATTGGACCATCCACCGTACAGCCCCGACCTGAGCCCTAATAATTTCTATACTTTCCCTAAAATAAAGAATAAATTGCGTGGACAGAGATTTTCATCACCTGAAGAAGCTGTGGACGCCTACAAAACGGCCATTTTGGAAACCCCAACTTCCGAATGGAATGGTTGCTTCAATGGTTGGTTCCATCGTATGGAAAAATGTGTCAAATTTGGCGGAGAATACTTCGAAAAGCAATAAATACATTTTTAAATAGTAATGTGTCACTTCCTTGATTCCCGAAATTTTCAGTGCCGCCCTCGTATAATAATTGAAAAATGTAATGTATGTTAAATAAAGTAAATAAAATAAATTATTTATAATGAAATAATTTGAAAATGTTCTTTTATTAAGTTTAACTTTTTTTTATGTTTACAGATTTGACTAACATACCATCAACATCCTTTGCTCCACTGTCACATTTGGACAATCTGGGAAATGTATCTGGTAATTTTTTAATTATTTTCTACTTTATTTTCATAGTGTTCATTAGAATATTTGTTTCTACAAACAATTAAATTTGCACTTAAAATATGTAAGATAGTTGTATAAATCTGTGCTTACAAAGTTTTTCTATTTCTTCTTTGTAATTTTGTTAGAAATCGGCAAGATTTCATGTCAGTCATGAAACTGACACTAAATTAATGTGTTAAAATATGACTTAAATTTGAAAGAAAATTTTAATCAAATTATAAAGTTTTTTTTTTATGTTTACAGATTTTACTGATATACCTTCAACATCCTTTGCTCCACAGTCACATTTGGACAATCTGGGAAATGTATCTGGTAATTTTTTAATTATTTTCTACTTTATTTTCAGTGTTCATTAGAATATTTGTTTCTACAAACAATTAAATTTGCACTTAAAATATGTAAGATAATTGTATAAATCTGTGCTTACAAAGTTTTTCTATTTCTTCTTTGTAATTTTGTTAGAAATCGGCAAGATTTCATGTCAGTCATGAAACTGACACTAAATTAATGTGTTAAAATATGACTTAAATTTGAAAGAAAATTTTAATCAAGTTATAAACTTTTTTTTTTATGTTTACAGATTTTACTGATATACCTTCAACATCCTTTGCTCCACTGTCACATTTGGACAATCTGGGAAATGTATCTGGTAATTTTTTAATTATTTTCTACTTTATTTTCATAGTGTTCATTAGAATATTTGTTTCTTCAAACAATTAAATTTTCACTTAAAATATGTAAAATAGTTGTATAAATCTGTGCTTACAAAGTTTTTCTATTTCTTCTTTGTAATTTTGTTAGAAATCGGCAAGATTTCATGTCAGTCATGAAACTGACACTAAATTATTAAAATATGACTTAAATTTGAAAGAAAATTTTAATCAAATTATAAAAAATTTTTATGTTTACAGATTTTACTGATATACCATCAACATCCTTTGCTCCACAGTCACATTTGGACAATCTGGGAAATGTATCTGGTAATTTTTTAATTACTTTCTACTTTATTTTCAGTGTTCATTAGAATATTTGTTTCTACCACCAATTAAATTTGCACTTAAAATATGTAAAATAGTTGTGTAAATCTTTGCTTACAAAGTTTTTCTATTTCTTCTTTGTAATTTTGTTAGAAATCGGCAAGATTTTATGTCAGTCATGAAACTGACATTAAATTAATGTGTTAAAATATCACTTTTAAATTTGAAAGAAAATTTTAATCAAATTATATGCCTAAAATATGGGTTAACATTTTAATAAATAAAAGTTATATATATTCATCTTCAGAAATTTTTAAATACATCAAACAAAAGATAACATATAAGACTTACAAAAAATATGTTCATTGCCGCGACCGCACCACGGATGTGTGGATTTGGACTAAATCGAAACAATGAAAATTATTCTGTTCCATTCTTAGTTTTTTATTCAAAGTATAATCTACAAGTTTTATTAAGGAAAATTACTATGTTAATAATGATGTTTTTTCTTGTTTAGGTGAATTAATTTCAACAACACCTAAAAAGGTGGTCAAGAAGAGGCTTGTACAAAAGTTTTCTAAACTTTCTCCTCAGTACAAGCTTCTATACAGTAAATTTAAAAAGTCGAAAAGGCAATTAAATTATAATGTACGGGTCAGGAGGGCACTAGCTCTTTCAAAAGATCATACTTTTGAAAAAATGACTGGCAAAATGAATCCACTTGCAAAGAAGTTTTTCTATATGCAAATAAAGATGTGCATGAAAAAGAAAAAAGGCAGAAGGTTTTCATTGGAAGAAAAGTTGATTGCTTTATCTATTATGAAGCAAAGTCCCAAAGCTTATAGATTTCTTCAGAAAATGTTTATCCTACCTTCGAACACAACTTTAAAGAAAATGATTACAGAATTAGATGTAAAAGCAGGGATATAGTGGGTAGGTGCTCAAAAAGTTAACACACGTTTATGTGATTGAATTTATTGTATTTAGTGTAAAAAGTATTTCCCTTGCATAATTTAATGTCAAAGTAATAACATAGTGAATATACCTGCCGGTGACTGTGTCAATACCATATTATCTAAAGGCAATTTTCAAATTACGGTGATCTACTTACATAAAATGACTAACATTATCGATATTTCTGAAACACAAAAAGCAATAGAAGCTACACTTTGAAAAAGAATGGATGACTTTGAGCAACAACTTGGCACTGCCTCAACCAAATCAGAAAATCTTGTTCAAATTAATAAAGAATTTAATGCTTTTCGCGACTATGTTCAGGAGATCTTCAAGCTAATGCGACAGCAAATTCACGAGGTGAGCCAGTTAGCCGATTCATTGGAAATGAGACACCGAAATAAATACCTTATCCTTAGTGGAGTACCTGAAAAGGCTGATGAGAATACTGCTGGTATTGTTACAACAATATTAAAAAACAACCTTGGTCTCAACGATATTACAGCCTCGTCCTTCAAAGTTGTACACGGACTTGGATCGGCATCTACGGGCCATAGTAGGCCTGTACTTTTTAGACTTATTGATTCTTCCCTCCGCTATACTGTTTGGAATAAAAAGGCTTCAAGGGCACACCCTATGTACTATCTGAATTCCTAACTAAATAACGCCAAGCTGTATTTATAGAAGCTCGCAAACTTTTCGGTATGCGTAACATTTGGACGCTGGATGGGAACATCACGATTAAACTGCCAGATGGAAACCGGCATAAAGTGATGACTTCAGAAGATCTTAAAAAGTTTGTTCGTGGTAAGGATTCGGATCCGGTCGTCCAGTTGGTGTCAGGTGACAATGCAGCTCGGGCATCAGGAAAGTCTGAACTGGCACATACCAGACGTGCTGGTAAGATCAAGTAATGTGATTTCTTTTTGTGTAATCTCTGTAGTGAAATCTCATCTCAATCATAATTATATAACTAGTAAACTAATCGCAATTAAGTTGTTTATATAAATGAAGATACAATTTACTCAGGCCCTAGTGTCATTCCACTATATTATGTTTAATTTTCTATACTTACAGTCTTATTCATAAAAATCCCTTAAAATGGCGTTAAAATGCTCATTAGTACTATTAAACCTATTATAAAATTCAGTATTCATAAACGTTTTATAAACCTGTCATAGTTAACCACTCAAGACTTTGACGTCGTTTTGATCGTATTTATAAATACTTCAGTTTTATTATGTTGTCATTCTGATGAATCCATAGACTAGCGACGGTGAAAAAAAAAGTTTGACAGCAATTGTGACATTCACGTCAAATTAAGCGCGTTGTTTTCTTATATCGGTTCAAGAAATTGATTTGAGTTATATTTTTTACTCAATAGTAATGGAAAACAGTACAAGTAAAAAGCGGCAAAGAAGCGAAATTGGCGATTGGCTGGAGGAAGATAAGGTTAGTACGTAACTAAAGTAATTTTCTTCATATGTGCTCAGTGCACAAGTGTTAGTTCACTGTGTTGTAATATTCAAATTTTATAAATGTCTCCTCTAGGTCGAAGTTTCGTGCTTTCCTTCCTTCATTTGCCATTCGGGCTTGATGGACCTCTTTCCTACACTCAATTTCAGTATTGGCTATACTTGCTGGTCTGAAATAAAAATAGTTATGTTTGAGTATTTTAAAAAAAATCAAAGCTACAATTTCATAAATTAACATAATCCCTATTTTATATTTTCTTCCAGGTTTCTTAGGTGTAAACAGTGGTTTGGTGGTGAGCCAGTAGCTACAACCTGCAGCAATGAAAACCGTTAAAAGAAACTTGTTTACATTAACTTAATCTTAAATGTTTCATCAAATAAAATTCAAGTTTAAATAGACAATTTCATTTTATTCAAGTAATACTTTTATCCCTAAACTTTACAATCCACATACTGGGATATAACTGATTCCATGGCTTTAACAATATCAGAATTACAAATCTTTTAATTCTTACTTAATTTACAACTTTTCACATATTTACCTCTTGTGTATTTTGGACGTCCTGAAGTATTTCTACTGTGACTCCTTTACTGTACTCATTGTGTCCTACAACAGTAAAATAAGATAAAATTAAAATTAGATATAAAAAATATAAAAATGACTTGCTATCTCAATACATTATTGATACTTACAATATCTGAAGTCTTGTTTTCAATGATGACAAGTTTAATTATCTCATCCACTTTGATCTCATTTTGCGATGGCTCCCCAATCTACAAACAATGCAATAAATAATTCAATTACTAATGAACTATATTATGTAAGTATGAATTTTTTTTTTGATAACAATATCATTAAGTAAACTTTAGTAGGTATTTAGGCAGAAAAGGAACAACAATGTTTATCAAATGAAAGTTTGCACTAGGTAGAGATAAAATTTGCAACTTTTAACTTAGAATCTTGACATACATAATACCAGATTTATTTCATCAGAATCAAATTCATTTGTGTCAATGACAAATTCGTTAGGGAGCCATGAACAGATGTCATCTGCATTTTTGGGGTTTGTTGTTGGAGGTGGACCCACCACCAGTCTGGAGAAGGTTCTTACGTTCAACAGACTTAATTTTCTTTTTTTAATTTTAATAATGCTCTATTTGGATTTTATTTGTGGGAGGGTCCTAGTGCCACCTTTGCACATACTGTTGAAACTGGAAAAAAAATATAACAATGTAAAAAAATATAATAAATGTTTAACATTTTAATATTCAAAATGGGCTAATCTTAATGCAAGCAATCCTGAGAACTTGGTTGCACTTTCTCATATATCAACCCGTCCAATCCTATGTTCTATGAGCTATGTGGACTGCCCACTGTTACTTAAGTTTTCGACTTAAGTCTGAACCTGTGTAAGCAACTTTATTCTTCAATAAGTTTCATCATAATGAATCCTATTGGATAGGGAGGCTCCTGGTTTAGCTCTTCCCGAAGACTGTTAAGTGACTTTAAACTTATATGTATTAGGCCAGCTAGAGACAAAGTGACATGCTATTTTTTTTTTTATAGGATAGGGTGACAAACGAGCACACAGTGCACCTGATGGTAAGTGGTTGCTGTGACCCATAGACATCCACATTTGTCCTCAATGAAGTATCAAAATGCAGATGCGTCGTCACCCGTGAGGACTAAGATGGAATGCCTCTTTTCCAGTAAAATGGGTCTCCGGTTCTCTACACTCACCATACGAAACACAGCAGCGTTAAGCTGCTATTTTACGCTGGTTTTCTGTGAGAGCGTGGGCCTTCCCCGGTCGAGCCGACCCATTTGTGCTACAACTATACTACTAATATAGCTGCAGCATGGCTCTACCACGTGCTTCTGTTGCATAGTAATGTAACTGACCGTATATAGAATATCATTGCGTTGAAGACTCCTCTTCAAACACTTCACACATTGATAGACAAAATTAGGTCTGCATAATAAATCCGCCTATGCTGCTAGCTTTTTTGAGTTCGTATTTGTATCAGTATTTTTATTTTCAATCACTAATACACGCTCTCTTACCAAATCCATTAATAAATGCTATGGAAAGAAAAAGGATATTATTATAACAACACAGTGAATAACACTTGTGCACTGAGCACCTATGAAGAAAATTACTTTAGTTACGTACTAACCTTATCTTCCTCCAGCGAATCGCCAATTTCGCTTCTTTGCCGCTTTTTACTTGTACTGTTTTCCATTACTATTGAGTAAAAAATATAACTCAAATCAAATTCTTGAACCGATATAAGAAAACAACGCGCTTAATTTGACATGAATGTCACAATCAGGGCCGGTCAACTTCCTAATAGCAGATTGGCACCGGGAGATGACCTTGGGGGGCTTTAAAGAAGCGAGATGGAATAATATCTATCTCCCTCGCACGTTATGTTATATTGCCATGAAAGAAATATTATTTTAAATGACACATCATTTTAATCATTTTTTTATTTAATAATTATAATACTTTATTATATAATATATTTCGTTAAACATATATTTATTACGTCTTTATTGAAGTAACAAAATGTATAAATATGAAACTGCATACTATAATAAAAAGGCAAGTTATGGCAACGGCAAATAAACAAAATTACAAATGGCAGATCCGTTGCGCTTGCCGCTTGCCGTTTCGTTCTTGTTTATTTGTGTTGCAAATTAAGTTTATCTTTCGATATAAACTTATTTCTTACATTACTAACGTTGAGTTGAACATCCCGTTCCTCCGTTTTAGTGTTTACAGTGAGAAAGAGACTCAAAAACAAGTGCTGTGCATTGTGCTAAAGAGACAGAGACTCAATTTTATCTTTCATCATGAAAGTAAACGAAAGGAAATGTTACAAGTGTGGATGTTCTCCTGCTCATGATCGTAACATCACCTTGCATCGTTTTCCTAAGCCTGGGAGAACAAATAGCGTACGGTACGTATGTTAAATAGCTTTTTGATTACTGATTAAAACAGTTTTAAAATGTTTAAATTTGAACCACTGAATTAATAAAGTAGCAGAAATAAAAATTATTATGGGCCGCATCAGCTAATAAAACCTAAGATACATATTAAGCGATTTAAAAACGTGTGCAAATAAATCTGAAAATTAGAGAAATTATGCAGAACAGCATGAGGTTTATCACATAGAAATCATAACATAATAAAAAGTTCTAGATGTATTGGTATACATAGAAATAACTTGTGGAATAATATTTATATATGTATACAATACAATCACATTGTTTGAAAGGAACAATCTTCTTGTATTGCACTCTCCTTTCAAGCACGTTTTTAGCACCTCAGTAGTATATTACTATCTAATTGTATTTTTTCAGATGGGAATTATGGGCGAAGTACTGTTTCCTCATGAATCTTGGTGGTCACCAGAATTTCAAAACAATCTTCATTCTAGGCATTTAATGTTGTGCACTAAACATTTTAAGAAATCATCATTCATTGATAATTTTGGAAAGAGGCTAGTCAAATCTGCAGTGATGTATGTAAATGAGGAATGTGATAAGGTTAGTTAATCTTTCTTTTGTTACTATCTACATTTTTTACTTTTGTGTGGCTTTTGTCATACTACAGTGAAAATATTATCTAGTTAACAAACGGTGGTAGCAGATTGAGTGGTGATTTATAAGGGTATGCGACGTAACCTATTTTTCCATTACTTCTCAACCATAAAAAAACAAAAGATATAAACTTTAAAAAAAAAGTTATCTTTTATTTTAAAAAAAAACCTTATCCAAACTAGGATTTTCTCCTCTTTGTGGAGGCAGTTTACAAACATAAATTGGATGAGGACAAACAACCCCCGGCACAATTATTTATAGGCCTTGGGGTATTAGTGTTCTGTGGTCACAATTGCTGTCAAACTTTTTTTTTCACCGTCGCTAGTCTATGGATTCATCAAAATGACAACATAATAAAACTGAAGTAAAGTTCTTTTCATGAAAGAAGTCCCCCAGACGCAGCGCTGTACTTTTTTTTTTGTAGGAGTTTATGGCCTGGTATCTAGACCTTTAGGCCACAGCGCTGTACTCGCGTGACATAGTGTTGCCATTTATGAGTAAAAATTTACCTATTTTACATTTAGCATATGTAATTTATCAAATAATATTATTTCCTGCAGACTTCGATGAAACTACTAAATTGTATTAAGAAATAAATACATTTTAGATAGGCTGTAATTTCATTACTCAAGCCAATACTATAACAATAGTTCAGATTAGTGAAACATGTATATTTCTGATAAGTGAAATGTATATTTGGGCATTTTTATCAAAATGTCTACCAACCCACTCATGGGATGACTCATGCAATAAGTCCAATTAACTAACGTTATTATGACTATGTAAGTGTCGTGTTATTATTAAATAGTTTCAGTGTTTAGGTGAGAAACTAAAAACAAAGCAATAAAAGCCGACGATTTTTGGTCATGATCAGTACTGGGAAACGTGGGATGTCACATTTCCTAGTTTAAGTTTATTTAAACATAAATTTTGATAAAAATGTCCATTTACATAATTTACTATATTTCTGTTATGTAAAAAGTATATTTTTATTTACTTTTATAAGCGGTGTTCTACCCACTTACAGGGAAAAGATGAGAAAATAGGGTAAAGAAAAGCATTACAATTTTTTATTCAGAGTTTTATTGAATAATTGTGATCAGCGGCCATAGGAACATCACTGTCTGAAGAGTGGATGGAAACTGAATCAGATTCTGTTTCAGTATCACTAGCCGTAGATATAATTATTCGGTCCATCTCTTCATCCATAAGGCCGTCATTTTTTAAATATTCCTCCTCTAAATGTTCGACATGCGTGCACTGAGCTGTCCAATCTTCCGCCGTAATAGACTCAAATTCCTCTACAGTTAATTTTACAATTTCTTTTGGATCTTGTGCCACGTTCTTATCCGCCACCTTTCTTTTTACAAGGCTCCAGATTTTCTCCACCGGGTTGAGGTCGCAATGGTAAGGCGGCAACCTTAATACTTCGTGTCCGTGAGCTGTTAATAATTCATCCACTGCAAATGTCGGTGGACCTTTATTTTGTTTGATTAGCTCAAACAGCACAGCTTTTCTCCAGGTGTCTTCAAAATATATACACTTTTGCCGGAGCCATTCCTGCATACTACTTTTTATATTTGACATTGAAGGGGCTTTGTTTAATTGAGTGCAATGGTAAGGAGCGTTGTCCATTACCACAAGCGACCTTTCAGATAGATTAGGTATTAATTTTTCCGTCACCCATTTTAAGAAATTTGTAGAGTTCGTGTCATCGTGGTAATCTGAGGACTTTGATTGGGATTTAAACATTTATAATGCACCATTTATGAATCCATCTTTTGTTCCCGCATGAGCGATTATCCAGCGACTCCCTGATGACTCTGAGACGAACATTCCTGGCTCCTCCTCACTCTGCCAACAACTTTTTGTATGATAAGTATTGTGTATATAGGTCTCATCTAAGTATACAACGGGTCGTTTTTCCACAGTGCGATTTCTTCGTATTTTATCTAAATATCTTGCACGCCATGCGGTAATGTCGTGACGTTCCATAAGTAGTTTGCGTCTGGATTGACATCGCTTGTACTTGAAACCAATCCTATTTAATATCCTGTGTAATGTTGTGATGCTTCCCTGAAAATTGATGTCTTCTCTAAGAGCTGCTCGTAATTTAGCCAAAGTTGGTAATTCTTTATGCACAACGTAAAAACTGTGAATTTTTTGCCGGATAGCGCACAAATCGAACCCGTCTAAGTCAAACTTTTTCGGATGCGGGCGACTCTTCCTCGGGGTGACAATTTTTTTCGAAGTACTCGCCGCTGTTATACCTTCTTTTGTAATTCTTGTTATAGTTTTCTCTGACACACCTGCAATTAAAGAATGAACATTTAAAAATAATAGTCACTTTAAGTTTATAATGCTTATGTACTATGTAATATACGTTTTAATTTCGGTTACCTAATTTCATCACGTTATGTATTTGTTCAATTTTGTCGCAAAACGAATTTATATCATAAAAGTCTCATCAATACAGCAAAAAATTATTATATGGCAAGTACCTGTTATGACGGCGACTCTCTTCCGAACATTGTTCAGTGGTATTAAAACACCTTGATTCTTTTGTTCAGCTTCACAGAATTCTTTCACCTTCAATATCATTTCTCGAG